TCAATTTTTGTTAAAATCAAACTAAGTTTAATTTTGGACCCTTTGGACCTTTATGTAGACCAATTTGAAAACGGAACCAAAAATTAAGAATCTAAATACACGGTCAGATTCGGCATATCAAAGAACCCCAATAATTCAATTTTTGATGAAATCAAACAAAGTTAAATTTTGGACCCTTTGGACTTCAATGTGGACCAATTTTAAAACGGGGCCCAAAATCCAAAAACTTAATACACAGTTAGATTCAGCATATTACAGAACCCCATATATTCAATTTTTGTTGAAATCAAACAAAGTTTAATTTTGGACCCCGATTTGGACCAACTTGAAAACTGGGCCCATAATCAAAAATCTAAATACATGGTTAGATTCAGCATATCAAAGAACCCCATATATTCAATTTTTGTTGAAATCAAACAAAGTTTAATTTTGGACCCCGATTTGGACCAACTTGAAAACTGGGCCCATAATCAAAAATCTAAATACATGGTTAGATTCAGCATATCAAAGAACCCCATATATTCAATTTTTGATGAAATCAAACAAAGTTTAATTTTGGACCCTTTTGATCTCAATGTGGACAAAGTTGATAACGGGGCCCAACAATCAAAAATCTAAATACATGGTTAGATTCAGCATATCAAAGAACCCCATATATTCAATTTTTGTTGAAATCAAACAAAGTTTAATTTTGGACCCCGATTTGGACCAACTTGAAAACTGGGCCCATAATCAAAAATCTAAATACATGGTTAGATTCAGCATATCAAAGAACCCCATATATTCAATTTTAGTTGAAATCAAACAAAGTTTAATTTTGGACCCCGATTTGGACCAACTTGAAAACTGGGCCCATAATCAAAAATCTAAATACATGGTTAGATTCAGCATATCAAAGAACCCCATATATTCAATTTTTGTTGAAATCAAACTAAGTTTAATTTTGGACCCTTTGGACCTTTATGTAGACCAATTTGAAAACAGAACCAAAAATTAAGAATCTAAATACACGGTTAGATTCGGCATATCAAAGAACCCCAATAATTCAATTTTTGATGAAATCAAACAAAGTTAAATTTTGGACCCTTTGGACCTCAATGTGGACCAATTTAAAAACGGGGCCCAAAATCCAAAAACTTAATACACGGTTAGATTCAGCATATTAAAGAACCCCAAGAATTCAAGAATAAATCACCATTGAAATTGATCAAGAAATAAGCAATTTATACGAAGTATCTTCTTTTGCACAATACTGTGCAATTGATTATTTCTTGCTATTGCGCAATACTGTACAATTGACAATTTCTTGCTATTGCGCAATATTGTGCTATTGGATATTTCTTGCTATTGCGCAATACTGTGCAATTGAAGATTTCTTGCTATTGCGCAATACTGTGCAATTGAAGATTTCTTGCTATTGCGCAATACTGTGCAATTGAAGATTTCTTGCTATTGTGCAATACTGTGCAATTGAAAATTTCTTGCTATTGCACAATACTTATTATATAATAATTTACACATCCTGTTTGGTGTGTATCTCCTACCATATCATTATTATTTGCTTTTAAATATAAATCAGAAATAACCAACTTAAAATGGAAAATTTTAAAACAAAAAAAAAAGGAAAAAAAGAAAAAAAAAAATCCCCCCCCAAAATTTTTTGAACCCCCTTATGAATCATCACCCCCAAACTCAATCTCAGCCTTCCATTTGTGGTATGGTACCTTGCAGTACAATTTCAGAGAGATCCATACACTTGAACACAAGTTATTGTCTGGAAACTAGAAAAATGCTTATTTTTGGCCCCTTTTTGGCCCCCAATTCCTAAACGTTTCGGGCAATTACCCCCAAACTCAATTCCAGCTTTCCCTTTGTGATATGGAACCTTGTAGTACAATTTCAGAAATATCCAAACACTTACACACAAGTTATTGTCATGAAACTAGAAAAATGCTTGTTTTTTGCCCCTTTTTTGGCCCCTAATTCCTAACATTTTGAGGCAATTACCCCCAAAATCAATTACAGCCTTCCCTTTGTGATATGGAACCTTGTGGTACAATGTCAGAGAGATCCATACACTTACACACAAGTTATTGTCTGGAAGTTACAAAAATGCTTATTGTTGGCCCCTTTTTGGCCCCTAATTCCTTAACTGTTGGTACCATAACCCCCAAAATCAATCCCAACCTTCCTTTCATGGTATTGAACCTTATGGTAAAATTTCATGGAGATCCATTCACTTAAACTAAAGTTAGAGTGCGAAAACCAATGTGTCTTCGGACGACGCCAGACGACGCCGGACGACGACGACGACGACGACGACGACGACGACGACGACGCCAACGTCATACCAATATACGACCAAAAAATTTTCAATTTTTGCGGTCGTATAAAAACGATATTAAACTTTCTTTGAGTCAAATTCGAAGTTCTGACGTAAACAGTTACCGTATAAACTCGCTTAATAGTCGATCCTACTATAAGTCGGGGGCCCTTTTCAGCTCCAAATTCTAAGGATTTAGTCTTGACCCTCGTATAAGTCGGACAAAATTTGGGCATTTTTTTTTCAGCTGACAGTAACTGAACGCCGGTAGAACCAATGCAAATCCAGGAATAATATTCATTTCTGCATTAATGTTTGGTTTGAATTTAGTTGATGCTCATCATGATAATTTATATTGCTGTTAATAATAAAGATGTATTCATTTCTCTTGTTTTGTTCACTGTTCAAATGTTAGATTAGCCATGTGTTGTTTACGTAATGCATCAATGATTTTGTAGGGTATGACTAACAACCTATTGTTTGAGAAAAGCAAATATAAACCAATATGAACCTGAAAAATTTAAAGTCAATCAACACTTGATGAAAATATTTTTCACAGCATACATACCGGTAACTCAGTGTTAAATGAGCATGTACACTTCATAATTCTTATTATATTGTGATGATTAAAGGATTAAAAAAATTAAGTGAAGCTTATCAATATATTAAAATAACTAACTCCAACTCATTAGTGTCATCTGTTTACCTATCACTGATAGTTTTCACACCTTTAGTAAATACAACTCTTTGTCTCTTAATTGGGGTTATCAATGGATTATATTGGCTTGTCAATCAATTTTGTAATTTTTGTTTACCTGAGACACTTTAATGAATAATATTTTGATTTTGGGAATGAATCTTAAAATTATTTTTTTATTATTATATGATTTATGAGCATTGGATTGATATCATGATATCACAATAATGACACAATAACTTCGCTGAAAACATCCTTTCACATATTTGGTACATTGTTATCTCCTTTTCATTTTTGGTTCTTGGCTCTTCTTTTGGGTTTATAGGAAAACCATATGACCATGAAAATCAATACACAAACCGGAAACAGTAGAATTTCAACACGAATTTGCAGAAAATGTTTACCAAAGAACAAATAAAACACAAAGACAGTATTGTAGTCATTTATTTTCAACAAAAACTTTTTATTTATTGATCTATGTAGGTTTGGCAATCAAAAACGTAGTTTTGACCAGGAAATTCACTCCTGACCACTTTTCTCAAGCTTGGATTTTTCCTCTGGTCGCTAGATCTCGTCTATTAGTCGGTCCCCCTCTCTGGATTATGAATTTTACTCCCAATTTTCCGACTAATAAGCGAGTAGGAACGGTAAATTGGCATTGCATCATTCGAAGTGTGCAACATCAGCGTACTAATATCTGCCTTAGACTCTTTATATGTGGAAAATAACGTTGTCAAAAACTTTACATTCGTTAAAATCTTATACCGGATGTTATCTTGACAATGGTAAAACATGGGCCAGAGACGGATACGTAAATTCCGTGTACGTTTGCAAAGCATGAAGAATGAGTGTACAAAGCTCTTTCTACGTTATTTCTTCAAGAAAATATTCGAAATAAACGTGAGATAAAGAAATACATGACAATTAAAGCATTTTTTGAAGAAATCAGGATGCATAATTAAATTTCACACCTGCGCACATGCGCACACGTGTACTAGTTCAAACAGAGACATGTCTCTGGTTCAAACAACCTGGTTATGACGATTTTTCATTTTCACCTTTTTAATTTTTTCATCAAATCATATTTGTAAACGTATTTCTGATAATCTAACTGATAATTTAAATCTTTTTGACTAAATTAATTAGATGCAAACCGCTGAAATGTAAGAAAATAACTTTGAATAGACCGATCAATGTCCGGTTCAAAATAGTTCACCTGTCACCTGAACAGGTAAATTTCAGCTGTTCGACAACTAATTAGCCTTGATTAAAATGAGAAGGTATTAAGGTAGGGGTTGTTTTGATAGTACTTAATGATCATGTCACTTTTATGACCGGAAATGTGTGGCTGTTAAAGGCAAAAGGTTGGGTCAAAAAGATCGCGAATTGTGTTAAAATGACCGTCTCTTAAGAAAGCCTTGAAAACTAAAAAGTAGATGACCGTTTAATGCTTTGCCCAGCCGGACTTTTACCGGACATTATACAAATGTCCGGAATATATGACCGTTTTGGAAGCCTTGGTGCAATACACTATGCGAATTGACCCCCCCCCCCCCCCCCAAAAAAAAATTTACCCAGTTTTTTGTGTTTGTGCAATACACTATGCTGTTGAATATTAACCCCCAAAAAAAACATATTTGAAGAAATTTTCTTTTAATTTCTGAAATCTGAAATGAGAAAAATTGTCCCTCTCCAATTTTTTTTCACCTCCCCCCTTTCCCTTATTCCAAAATATAATTCTTTCCCTCAAGTTATGGTCAATATCTCAGACAATCATCTCCAACCTTGTACTTTATTTGGCCTTTTTAACATTTTTTTATTCGAGCTTCACTGATGAGTCTTTTGTAGACGAAACGTGTCTGGTCCAAATATAAAATTTCAATCCTGGTATCTATGATGAGTTTATTTAGAAGCCTTGTATCATGACCTATGGTTAAACATAGTTATTACTATCAAACAACAAAGAACAATTTTAAATACCTTTAGGGTCTGCTCTAGGATACAACCTGCTCCATGATACCTTTGGTTTGTATGGCAAGCTTTGGATGTAACCTCTAGCCTACAATGTCAACAAACATTAATATTGGATTTGTATGGCAGGCTTCTAGTGTTACCTCTAACCTACATAGATCAAGGACCTTTATCAAAACACAACAATATCACAATTTATAATGTTACTCTTTCTTTATAATCATAATTTAGATGGTAAGCCTTCATTAGATTAAATAGAATCATATTTCTACAAAGCATCTGATGACCATGAAGTTATTATGCAGATCCAATAGTTAGGATAATTACCTTCAAAACTCTTAAATCCCTGAAACTTATATTTATTAGGTTTTTTTTATAAGCTGCTGTCAATTCAGAAAATGCTGCTTACCTAAAGTGCTATCAATCATTAAATAGTGAGTCTTCATTTTCACAAAGACTTACCCTCACAAATGTTTGCACACATAAAAACATTGCTAAAACTTCCGATTTTACACTATTTCTTGAGGAACTTATATTTCATCCCTATTTATTCTTGTGTTGAATATTGCATTTAAGTTTTATTATCAATATTCCAGGACAATTCTACTTACCTTTTCATTTATTATACAATCGAGATCTTCTTGACTTGGGGAACCTAAAATTCCTAATATATGGTTCAACTGGTCTAGATCTGAAGAGAAGTTAAGAAATGTTTTCCCACTAATATGTCGCAAATTAAGTAAGATGTTGAGAATTTTTCCAAAGGACAAGGTAAAATTTCTGGCCTATTTTACTGTAAAATCAAATGCATTTAAAACAGTCTTTCACTCACAAAATCAAAAGTTAAACATATGTACTTTAATGAAACATTGTACTTTTGGTTTAAAACATAACCTTTTCACAGGTTGAACAGCCTTAAAATATCAGTAAATTTAGAAAAATGGTGAGATTACATAAAATTGAGACAATCTTATTTGCACATACGTAGAAGTAACAAAAAGAGCAACCGTCGCCCAAAAATGTAGTTACAAAAATAACTGATAAAATTCAGAAGACATTTTGAATCATTAATACAGTGATCATATATTGTATGAAAGCAATCTCAAACATTTCTTAAGAAGACAAAAGGATACAATGTTTTCCTGGAAATAGTGGTCTGTTTGACAACATCTCTCCCAGTATACATCCAACTGACCATACATCAACTGAAATCTTGGTTAAGGTCAATAATTAGTACACATATATATTTAGTAATCAAAATTCTGTTTTAACATAGAAAAGAAAATTTATCCTAAAAAAGATCCTTTTACAGATAATTGTATGAACATATTCCATTATAAAAGGATAATTTCTTTGGCTACAGCAGCTGACTTTCGTTTGAGGAGTCATGGTTCATAAATGTTGACAGTGTTATTGTTCCTCTTAATAAACAGATGCGCCATGAGCGCATGATACGCCCGTCGTCTTGTGTGTGAATTTTTATGCAATAATCTTAAATAGTTTCTGACATACGGCGCCACATGCGAAAACCCCCCTTTATTTTACAAAAAACTCAATATCTCTAAAATAAAATTTTGAATCAAAACCAAAAATTATACAGATCTTTAGATTAATATAACTAAGAAGTGTGTAAAGTTTTAAGCAATAATCATAAATTGTTTTTTAAATACGGCACGACATGTGAAAACCCCCTTTTTAAAAAAAAAAAAATCAATATCTCTAAAATAAAATTTTGAATCAAAACCAAAAATTATACAGATCTTTAGATTAATATAACTAAGAAGTGTGTAAAATAATAAGCAATAATCATAAATCGTTTTTGAGATACGGCGCGACATGTGAAAAACCCCTCCCCCTTTTTTTACAAAATACTCAATAACTCAAAAATAAAATTTTGAATCATCACCAAAAAGTATACAGATCTTGAGATTAATATAACTAAGAAGTGTGTAAAGTTTTAAGCAATAATCACAAATTGTTTTTGAGATACGGCGTGACATGTGAAAAAAAACACACTCCTGTTTTAGTTACTAAGTCCCGTAACTCAAAAAGTTTTAATCTTATTTTCACCAAAAAGTATACAGATTGTTTGACCATCATAAGAAACAACTATGTTAAGTTTCATGAAATTTGGATAAGTCGTTCTCAAGTTACGGTGCAACATGTTTACGATGGACAGACGGACAGACGACATTTGTATACCATAATACGTCCCGTCAAAATTTTGACGGGGGTATAAAAAATGATTGTGCGTCTTTTTTGTTGTTATTACTGTGAAAAGTGTCTTCCGTGGTAAATCTAGGTATATACCTCACCATACTGTAAAGACACCTGATTATTCAATATTGTTGAAGACTGTATACCTTGGATTCATTAATTTTCTTAGGTACCAATTTTTCGTGGATTGAGGAAAAATTGTATTTTCGTGGATATTTGATTTTGAGGTTTTGCCAAAGTCTGCATGGAAGCCCATATAAAATTTGTACTTCGTCAAACATTAAAAATTGTGGTTCACCTATTTCCACAGTATTGCCCCTCAGGATGTCTTTTGATTGTGTTGTTGGGTTACTACCCCAATGTTGCATACATTACATTTCCTTTGATCCAGAAGGCAAAACTCGAATAAAAAAAATAACCAAATCATTTTCATTGTAGTAAATAAACAAGAGAATGGAGACCAGATCAAATGAAATTTGCATTCTATTCTATAAATTTTCTATAGAAGTATTATTACAATGGTTTATTGATCTGGTAATTAAGCAATAGTGGTACAGCATAAAATGGGTGTTAATAATCAGAGCCTAGCTACAAAATTATTTAATTATTCAGTGTTTGTGTTTGCTTTTCATTGAAATATACGATGGCAAATTTTGTAAATAATGACATACTAATTTAAATATATTTGACTGGTGTTTTTTTTATTACTGGAAACACATCAAAATTTAAATGTACAATTTTGATGACTTTAAAGAAGTTTGTAATGAAAGTTAATTAAAATAAAATATTCATAGTTGCTGATATCAAAAACTATTTTTCTTTTGGTGCATGTCTGGTGTTATAATAAGGTGTGTTTAATTCATTTGATTGTGCAGTGTTTGCTATTTCAATAGGTTTCTATAAAATTTCTCCAACATTGAACTCCTTCTTAATTCCAGACATTTCTAAGTTGTAATGGTACACTACTATTTCAGGTTAGGGTGAAGGTTGGCACCTGTTAAAAGTTTAAACCCGCTGCATTTGTTTGCACCTGTCCTAATTCAGGAACCTAATGTTCAGTGGTTGTTGATGTGGTTCTTAAGTGTTTCTCGTTTCTCGTTTTTTATATAGAATAGACCATTGGTTTTCCTGTTTGAATTGTTTTACACTAGTCATTTTGGGGCCCTTTATAGCTTGCTGTTCGGTGTGAGCCAAGGCTCCATGTTAAAGGCCGTACTTTGACCTATAATTGTTTACTTTTTACACGTTGTGACTTGGATGGAGAGTTGACTCATTGGCACTCATACCATATCTTCTTATTTCTATTTTAATCATTCTGATTAAGGATACTTGATTTTGTGTAGCCTTTAGAGTTAAGCATGATTTCTGGAGCTCTATACCATCGTGTGGCTACATATTCTGTCAGAAAACCAGTGTGGTCATGGTCAGGGTCAGCAACTCTTGCTAAACCAAAATCACAAATCTTAAAAAGAAAATAAAACAATCTTAATTGGTTATACAAAACAATTTTATACATATAAATACAAATAAATATTACAGGTTAAAAAATCAAAAAGACAAACAAAAGTACACAAAACACAACATAGAAAGGTTAACAAATACTCTAAATCTACAAGAATACTTTTTTGTAGAATTGTAACAACCACCAAATCAAGCATTCTGCATGTTCTGAGAGTATTGCATGACAATACATAGTCCCCTACCAGTTAAAAATTCATTGTACTGGAACAAATTGCTAACTTAACTATAACTTGTCATGGTGTAAACTATATAAGAACAAGAGTGCACACGCTGAAATGTCTCGCCTTCTTTACTAATCATTGATATTATGTTGATAGTTCTAAATATAAAGCTTTACTACAACTATCACATAAACTTAACATGATCCAAGAAATGAGGTCAAGGTCATATAAACCAAACAAGAAATACATGTACACCTTACAATCATTCAATACACTAAATATAGTTGACCTATTGCTTATAGTTTCTAAGATACAGACTTAACCAAGAAAACTAAAAATTGACTAAAGAACCATGAAAATGAGGTCAAGGTCAGATGAACCATGCCAGGCAGACATGTATAGCTTGCAATCCTTCCATACAACAAATATAGTTGACCTATTGCTTATAGTAATAGAAAAACAGACCAAAACACAAAAACTTAAGACTGAGCTATGAACCGTGAGAATGAGGTCAAGGTCAAATAAAACCAGCCAGACTGACATGTATATCATAAAATATTTCCATAGACCAAATATAGTTGACCTATTGCATATAGTATTAGAAAAAAAGACCAAAACTCAAAAAATTAACATTGACCACTGAACCATGAAAATGAGGTCACGGTCAGAAGAAACCTGCCAGCTAGACATGTACACCTTACAATCATTCCATTAACCAAATATAGTAGACCTATTGCATACAGTATAAGAAAAACAGACCAAAACACAAAAACTTAGCTATAACCACTGAACCATGAAAATGAGGTCAAGGTCAGATGACACCTGCCAGTTGGACATGTACACCTTACAGTCCTTCCATACACCGAATATGCTAGACCTATTGCTTCTAGTATCTGAGATATGGACTTGACCACCAAAACTTAACCTTGTTCACGGATCCATGAAATGAGGTCGAGGTCAAGTGAAAACTGTCTGACGGGCATGAGGACCTTACAAGGTACGCACATACCAAATAGAGTTATCCTATTACTCATTATAAGAGAGAAATTAACATTGCAAAAAATGTTAACTTTTTTTTCAAGTAGTCACTGAACCATGAAAATGAGGTCATGGACAATGGACATGTGACAGTCGGAAACTTCGTAACATTAGGCATTTATATACAAAGTATGAAGCATCCAGGTCTTCCACCTTTTAAAATACAAAGCTTTTAAGAAGTTAGCCAACGCCGCCGCTGCTACCGGATCACTATCCCTATGTCGAGCTTTCTGCAACAAACGTCGCAGGCTCGACAAAAATATCAAATCAATAACTTCAAGCATGACGAAAAAATGTGTGGAAAACTGATTATTTGCATGAATTTTTGAGTCCAAAGACCATCTCTCTGCACTAAATCATCCGACCGGAACATTCAAACGTGATCTGTAACTTGTCATGGTCAAGCTATATACCAAATAACAAATCAATATCTTTAAGCATGATGAAAAAAAATAAGTGTGGAAAACTGATTACTTGCATGAATTTTCGAAGTCTGAGGACCATAACTCTGCAAAAAAATCATCATAACTGAACAAAATTGAAACCTGATCTGTAACTTGTATATATACCAAATATCAAATCAATATCTTTAAGCAAGATGAAAAAAAGTACAGAAAACTGATTACTCGTGAGTGAATTTTCAAAGTCCAAGGACCATAACTCTGCATAAAATCATCAGACCGGAACAAAATGCGAACTTGATCTGTACCAGGACATGATAAAACTATGTACCAAATATCAAATCAATATTTCAAGCATGAAGAAAAAAAGTGCAGAAAACGGATATACCGGACTGATGGATGGACAGACGACGGAGTGCAAACCTTTAGTCCCCTCCGACTTCGTCGATAGGGGATTAATAAAAAGACAATTTCCTCAATCTAGGAAAATTGGTACCCAGGAAAGTGATAATTTTCTCAATCTAGGAAAATTGGTACCCAGGAAAGTGATAATTTTCTCAATCTAGGAAAATTGGTATCCAGGAAAGTGATGTATACACAGTAATTACATGTTGTTTAATTAACAATATGAGTTTTCATAAATGAAAAATTCAAAAGATGAAAGACCAGGGTGTAGTCATAAAACTTTTGAGTATGATTAAAATTTATTGTCCTAAGACTCATAAATCAAAATCAAAATACTGAATTTGATGTTTATAGGACAAATTTTGTAATCCATGTACTGAGTAAAGTTTCATGACCGTAAGGCCAGATTACAAAAAAATCATTATATTTTATAATTCAATGTAAATGAATACCAATTTCCTTCAAAACATGAACAATAGTTTTGTTTTGAATGAAAGAAAACAGATCAAACATTTTATTAGTATCAAAATACATCTTTCTTATATATTTCTAAAATCTCTATATTCTATCAAAACATATCTAATTGTTTCTTTGCAAATGCAAGGTAAACATTCAGGTTTATTAATTTTCTTAAAATATATTCATGAATTATCAGCAAGTATGTCTGATCTGAAAATAATCTGTACAAAAGATAAAGTCTTCCAGCATGCCATTTGAAGATGCAATCTTCTGTTCAAGAATGTCAAGTAGGAACTAAGCTTAGAGATTAAGAGTCTCTTACTACTGATCACTTAAAATCATCAGATGTGACAACCTGTCCTATAATATAACAAACTTGATTAGAAGAGTTTATTAAATTCACTGAAAATAAAAGGCCTACTGGATTAAATTCATTGATTTATGTAAAATGACAATTCAAATCATGAAAATGGATTTAACTGAAAAAGTCAGGAAAAATTTCATCAAATTTCAAGTTCAAACACAATCTTCAAAATAAATGATCATTTTTCTTCCCAATCGACAAAATATCATAATATCAACATGAAATGGATAAGTGAGAAAAAAGCACTCTGCTGCAGGATGAAAGTTCGATCTAGCAGCGAAACCTTAGCTCATAGGTCCTTTTGATATTTTTGGACAATTTGCGGACCATATCAAAAGGACCTAAGAGCTATGGTTCTGCAGCTAAGTTCAAACCCAAGGCTCCTGAGAATTAAATCGTTCATCTGGAACGAATACACTTGTTTTTGGCCAAAATTACAATAAATTATGACGGATAATAAATAATTGTAATTGGTCAGATTTTTTGGATGGATGATTGTAAATATCAACCCCTAACTTAAGCAGATAAATTGTCACTTAAAATATACAAATGACACAAAAGGTGCAGTTCTAACTAAAATAGCTCCTTAAATACTGATAAACATTTCGGAGTTGCCTGAACCCACATTAATGAGCCAGCAACCCAAAAATATATCACTTCACAATCTAAACATCTAGAAGGAATTACATCTTATTACATCACAACCATCATGCAATATTTATTTCACAGTTCATTTAGTTTAACTTGTGGTGTTGGGCTGCTGTCTTACAAAATTTTACCCCCACACCTCCTTCAATTCACTCTAATGTATAAAACCTAGATTAAACACGTGATACATTACTTTCAGGCATATCATGCAAGATCACTACCAGTAATGGAGAATCAGTAATGAAAGCTCACTATGCGGTATGGGTTTTATTCATTGTTGAAGGCTGTACGATGACCTATAGTTGTTAATTTCTGTGTCATTTGGTCTCTTGTGGAGAGTTGTCTCATTGGCAATCATACAACATCTACTTATTTCTATATCATATATATTCACTCTGTAAAACAGCACAACACCATTACAGACCTGCAATTCATTGTTGAACGAACATAAACATATAAAATTACCTTCAGATCACAAGTTGTATTTAGTAAAAGGTTGCTGGGTTTCAGATCTCTGTGTAGTACGTTGGCTGAGTGTATGTATTTGAGTCCTCGGAGTATTTGGTACAGGAAGTAGCACACATGGTCGTTACTCAGTTGCTGCGTCTTCAGTAATTTGTACATGTCTGTCTCCATTAAACACTGTACTATATATCTAATCAATTGTTAAGTCAAAATACATTTAATAGATAAGATTGCAATCAGAAAAAGATAAACATGCTGAAGTTCTCTCCCTTGGTATCCTTGCTACCCAGGATGAACAGGTTCTTTTAAGAAGCCATGTTAGTTTGTGCTAATATTTTGACACAATGTGAACCATGTTCATTCACCATGCAAAAACATTCTGTGCAGTGATCAATTATAAGGAAATTCTATTTTGATAAGATGGTCAATCATGGAACACAAAGCACAGACAACCACACTTGGCTACATCAAAATTTTCTGGAAAATATTTTTCTGGATACTCTGCTGTGTCTTCATGACAAATACTTTCAAAAATTGGGAGGCAAAAGGTTCAGTGGTTGCCATAATAATTGTCAGAACAGAATGTAGAACATAGTCAGAGCCTTGTTAGCAAAGGCTTTAGCATGGACAAAGGATCTGTATTCTAATCAGATTAATGATTTGAATTTCTGGTAGAAGCAATAAAATAAACAATGATTCCATAAATAAATATTTTATATAATTATGCAGTAATAATTAGGGAACCATTTTTTCTAATATAGTAAACAAGGGGAACTGTGTTAGATATACAAATTAAATGTCAAACTTGATCAATTCCAACAACAATTATACTGTGATTTATAGTCAAATTTCAAGGGTTTAGGTGAACCACAATTTTAGATATACAAGATTTATGAGAACCACAAAATTAAGAATTAATGAACAAGAATGTGTCCATAGTACACGGATGCCCCACTCACACTATCATGTTCAGTGGACCGTGAAATTGGCGTCAAACCTCTAATTTGGCATTAAAATTAGAAAGATCATATCATAGGGAACTGGTGTACTAAGTTTCAAGTTGATTGGACTTCAACTTCATCAAAAACTACCTTGACCAAAAACTTTAACCTGAAGAGGGACAAACGAACGAACGAACAGATGCACAGACCAAAAAACATAATGCCCCTCTACTATCGTAGGTTGGGCATAAAAATGGAACCCACAAAATTAAAAGAATCCACAGTAGTGACAGTACCCTTGCAAATACATTTTTTCCCCTATAATTAGTAACTTCAAATCTAAAATAATTACTCTTCCAATAACGCTTAGTAATTATTTTCCTTAACACATGTTGTTTGGTTTCTGTCTTGAAAGAAAACTGCCCCACCTATTCTTTTTTTAATTTTATAAACCATTAATAACAGATGAAGCAAAGTTATTCATCTTTTAATATTAATGCAAGCCGTCATTCACAAAAAAAAACAACATTTCATGACTTTAATTATAGCTTCTATTTTTGTTATTACTTAAATTGAGTACAGTTTATATCATCCAGTTCCTACAATCATAAAATACAATATTTTACATGTTTTTAATCAAGTGATAATTTTATTCAATTATTACCATCATTTCCAGTTTCCTTTAACAATGAAGTCAATCAATTCTATAAACAAAAGGTCCAATGACCTCAAAAAATGTTATTATCAATGAAGAAAAATAGATAATATTTTATACATGTATATAAAAATGTTGTGATTGTCAATGAGAACTCGCAGATGTTCTTTAATATTTAAAAGATTTTTTGATTTTTGAATTAAAGAATTCGAAGTGGCCTATTTGTCATACCTTTTCATTTAGAGCTACCTAAACAAAATCGTGCTGGATAATATTATTACTTAAAGATTTCTATCTGCACCCAGTATTCTTGTGCATTTACGGAAATAAACATTTGACAAACTTGAAGTGGTTGTAAAATTTTATACAAAATTCTTATTTGAATTTTTGAATAAATCTTGTTTGATTAAAATCATATTTGACATTGTCTGTTTTCTTATTTGACAAATCAAAGTAGTGATGATCATAATAAAATCATTTTCATATTCTACTGGGGAACAAAACCAGCTGCTTCAAAAAACTTTATACATTGAACAACATTGTCATAATTTACAGAGACTCTTTTACATAAACGCAAAGAAAAGTAACTGCCCTTTGGACAAAAAATCAAAGCATAATCCTAATTAATCCAGACAAGGAAAAAACAAGTCATTATATCTTAAACAATCGCTCAAGATTTATCTAGGAAAAGTTAAATGACTCTTGGCAAATAAAAAATCAATGAACAATATTATCTTATGGAGCAATAACATAACATGAAGATCAATTTAAACCCCAATCGGTTAAAGTACACAAGAAACATCCTTATGGTCGCTTGATGATTGATGGAATTTGTCACGGAACAGTTTGAAATTTTAATTCTGTATAAAGAACTTGTTGAACTTTGAAGCTTCCACGGAAAGCCATCATTGAAATTTAAAGATTTTTTTGAAGCAGATTGTTAAGGCAAATTCATGGGCTGCCCAATTACAATACAGTACTACAGATATGTGAGGTTTTAACGATTTGGCCTATCTCTGACAAAATTTCATAGAAAAACAATAATTTAGGTCAAAATTGAAAAACAAATTGCATACACAAGTTTCTCACAAGAATATCAAATTAAAACTCTGATCATTCTTTTACTACTAAATCCTTCCTATTTTAAACGACCAATTTTTCCTCATTTTGATCTTGAGGAAAGCAAGGAGAAGTGAAATTAATTTGTATTCAAGTACAATAAATATGGTCTTCTAAACTTGATCCAATTTTGGATTTCTTGTCAATGGAAGTTGTAATATGTCTGACCAAATTACTTTCTAAAGACTACTTAATCCATACTTAACATTGATAAACAAGAAAGTTAAAATCATATTTGAACTTTAAAAATTTGAAAAATGTAAAGACGACTTAAGTATGTAAAGGTTAAGTCATACTTGACTTCTTTAAATAAACGTCTCGTCCAATTGTGAATGAAAATGATGTCACACCCTGGGTAGTAGTAGAAAAGGGGATTATACTCAGCTACTTCAATCACAATCATAATTTTTGTTGCAAATGAACCGGGTATTTCTTTATAAATCGATTTTCTGCAATTTTTATATCTTTAGGAAATCCAGTTGTGCATGTATATAATGCTGATTTATGTTTTTCTTAATTCTTAACAGAAAATAAAAATGTTTTTATCTGGTTTATTGCATATTTGGGTTGCTGTCTGGTGGAAGCATACTTTAAAAAAATAAAACTTCGGAATTTCCCTAAGCTTTTCTTCCCATGATGATTTTCCCGTGATTTATATTTTGCATTTTTGCATGTTTTTTTAATTTAATTCATTTATCCCTAATAACTTTAGGCAAACAAGAATTTGAAGGCATGCATTGCTTGGGGGTGGGGGTTTGGGGGGTGTAGTTAGTTCATACTAAAATATCATTGAAAGTATCCCTAAACCTTTGCCATGAGCACATGGCTACCCAACTCTCTTTCGTTGGGTTAGTTTTCATCATACATTTTTTATCAATTTTCCAGAGTTCAAAATTATTCCTCGTTTTTTAATGAAATTCTAAAATAATATAGCAGTCTTCACACTCAACCACAGACCCACCAGCCCAGGCTTGTAAAACTTCTGTCGGGCCTGTAAGAATCATCTCAACAGGCCAATATGATCTAACTGAAATTTTCTTAAAATTCAGCTTCGGGCCTTTAGATTCAAATATCAATTGTGAAGACTGATAAAGGACTAGAAAGAAACCTACAGCACATACAGAAACAACCAACAATATCACTTAGAACAATCTGCACCAAAATCTTCTCCAACTACTTGTCCGAAGACCAACATTCTATCATTTTTCTTATGTGTCTAAAAAAATAAACAAAGTTTGGCAAAATCTTACTAATCAAAATAGAATTTTTCTCATCTGGGGCATCAGACTAGTGGCTAAAGATGCAGACTGTGTGAACCCAATTAATTTCATGGTGGTCACTGCATTCCAAGCAAAACTATTTCACAAATTTATCTTAAATATTGAAAAATTATTTACAGCAAGGCATACCTGTTCTTCAGGTATGTCAAATGTATAATATTTAGGCAAACAAGAAGGTATTTCAAAATCCCTTATCAGGATGCTATATGAAATTGTTTGGAGAACACGTACACTAACTTGGCATGTGGTAAATAATTTTAAAGCAAAAGATTCCTAATTAAGAGCCTGAATCGCTCACCTGTAATTTTTTGTGTAGATCTTGCATCAATGATTATTTTGCTGTTTAAATGTATATTTACGCATGTTCAAACATGCCTTTAACACATTCTCTCCATCTATAATAGTTTCTGTAAAAAACAAAAAAAAAATGGAAAAAAATCATCTTTCAAGGGAAATATAACTCCTATATAACATGTATAAAGGATCAATTGACAATTTAGGTCATGTTGACCTATTTGTAGGTCTTACTTAGCTGAATATTTTTCTTGTTTGAAGTTTATGTCTATTTATCATAGTTTCTGTGAAAACTAAACAAATTGAAAAAAATTATCTGTTAAATGACAATAACTCCTATAAGGCATCATTGACAGTTTCGGTCTTAAACTTATTGCTAGATCTTACTTTGCTGAACATTTTTGCTGCATAAATTTTCTATTCATCTGTAACAGTTTTCAAGATAACCGAAAACTGGGAAATTTCATTAAAATTATTATTTCCAGGGCAAAAACTCAAAATTAGGTTGTCTGATTCATCTGAAATTTCCTCTCACATAGATCTTGGCCTGCTGATCATTTTTGCCTCTGTAAGTTTTACTCTTACTGTTTAAGTTTTTGAGATATAAGCCAAAAACTGCATTTTACCCCTATGCTCTATTCTTAGCCTTGTTGACAATGTTTGTTGACTGAACAGATTAAAAAACACAAATTTCACATTAGATACCATAAGTATCATTAACCAAAAGTTTGGTTGAAATAGGTTTATTAGTTTCAGAGAAGATCTTTAAAAAAGTTTACGATGACGACGGACGCCAAGAAATGGCATTAGCTCTCATGGTCCTTTGGGCAGGCGAGATAAAAACACCATTTGGACCCTAATGACAGTTCATGCTGCATGTAAAACATACAGGCTTTTAGCA